GGTCCAACTCCTGGCGCAACTGCCCTATCATCTGAATCCAACACGCCCGTTGGGCAAATGCCATGCGCGAAGCTTGCACTCGAATGCTGGTGCAAACGATTTCTTTAGTGTGAATCAGAAACTGTCATTTCTTCGGTGCTTTGCCATACAGAAAAGCATTGAAGAGCTCATGTGCAAAGAACGATGGCTCCACCACAGCATCTGCACGCTTCTTGCTATGTGCACACCTCTGGTCCTAGGGTTCCGGAATCTTGAGAAGCCTCACCTCATGGCCGATTCTCTGCTAGTTGGAGGTTTCGTACTTCAAAACAAGACATGCAACAGCTGAATGAAATGTCGCATTGGATCTGGCCCTCTGGCCGACATAGTTTAGGATTACCAAGCTGAACTAAGGCATGTTTTTGTGAGAACTATCCTAATCTGTCGCAGAGGTCGTTCTAAATCGCCCAGTCATCCCATTTGTTAGTGCTGAAGGGTCACCGTGTGTCATCCCATTTGGGTGTGTCTGAACATGATCCTCAAGTCACCATAGCTTTCAATACTAATTATGTATATATATATATGTATATATATATATTAAAATGAATATATGTATATATATATATTAAAATGAATATATGTATATATATATATATACACGGATGTATATTAATATTATATAATACTCATATTATCATAAATTTTTACTACTAATATAAATATTAAATATTAAAAAATTGTCTAATTTTTGATGATTTTTGGATTTGGGGGTACCACCATTGTTTCCTCATAAAATGCCTCAAAAAGGAAGTGCCCCTACTCTTCACCCTACTCTGCAAGTATTTTCAATGATGTCCCACTATAAACCATCCATTTTTTTGGGTAAAAAAAAGGGGAAACCCCATTGGTTGATCCTTTTTGGTGACCATGACCTAAGCTTCAGTCCACCTGCACCGAGCTGTTCTGAAGCTTCAGTCCACCACGGCCCGCGGAGATCGCCTCGGACAAGATTCCTGATCGACTCCCCAAGTATCATGGATTTTGCATGATTTTGCATTGGGAAAATCACACATCAATCACATCATCTTCAGCAAATCCAAGACTCACCAACTGCCCGCCGGCCCCATCTAAGTGGCCAAAGGCGTACAAGTACGCCCGGCCCTGTTAGAGACACTTAAAGTCAACAACTGGATCATCCCATAGGCTGTTAAACATCACCAACCAGTGACATCAGTTCAACCACGTTCAATTGGTACAGTGACTGGTGAATGTGAACAACCTGGAAACACATTGAAAATCTGGTTGGTGGTGCAAACACACCATCTTGAAAAATGATGGACTTCGTCAATGGTTGGCGGATGACATCCCATTAATATGAAATGGAAAATCATCCAGCCATGTTTGAAACCACCAACCAGAATCACCATTTATCATTATTAACCATGATTAACCATGATTAACCCATTACAATCCCCATTAATCACCATTAACCAACCAGTGGTTCTGTCAACCAAGCGACTCCTCCATCCTTCCGCGCCGAGGCGTTGAAAAACGCGAGCCTCTCGCGTTTTAGAACGAGAGTCGTGACCGCCCGGGGTGGACCGGCCTTCTGTTTTAAGGGTTGAACAAAGGGCCACCTTTAAACAAAGTGACATACCTGAAACTTGATTTAACAGGACAACCTTAATATTACCCACTTTTTATGGTTAATACTTGTTCCGAACGATCAGTTTACCCACTTGTTGATCAAGACTTCTTCAAAATTCACGATAAAACACACGGTGAGTCTTGAATCCGTTGGAAAGTCGCAGGACTCCAGCTGGTACATCCAGCTGGCATCAACATAGCTAGTAGCATGGCGTATCAAGGTCATTTGAAACTCACCAACGTTGTTTTTTTTTAGAGTCCAATTCCAAATCATTCATTTTCCATGATTAACCACTATTCATTAAATACTATCATGTTCACCAATGTTCATCCATTGTAAATTGATGTCAATCGTCCCTTCACCGCCGTCGCGGCGCCTGGCATTCTCCACTTCCAGTGCCGTCACCTGGAGATCTCTGGAGGAATCACTGTAAATCATGATGGATCAGCTATGGAAAATCTATGGAACATCTATGGATAATGATGGATAATCTATGGATAACCTATGGATAACCTATGGATAATGATGGATAATCTATGGATAATACAAGGATAGGGATGAATAGTGACTGTAATGAAAAAAAAAATACGTGAATTTCTCCGGTTTCTCCGGAAATTGTTCAGATTTACCACTTACCACCAATTTTCCATCATCTTGACACAACTCCCGAAGCTTCAGCCGCCATGTCTGGCCAAGTAAATCGCCTTCGTTGAAAAGAACCGCTCAATAGTGGAGAATCGAATTGTCTTCAAATTGGAACAGTGGTTTTCGAGCACACCATATTAAATTGCCAACGGGTAAGTGGGAGTGAGTCAAGTCAGTGGAGTAACATGGAGTAACCCAAATCACTGTCACGTGAAATCATCTTTTTTGAGACGATTCCTCCAATCGGAACTCTAATTTACAGGGTGTGCTTTATCTGTGCAGAACGCTACTTGAGACAAGTTTCAGTTGGGCTTCTCAGAATGGCTACCCCAAAATCCCCATGGTTATCAAGATGGTTTCCCCAGCCAGGCCCATTCAGCCAAAGGTCCAAGATTTGTCCCACTCTTCCCATGTTTGACATCCCCATTTTCCTGGTGAAACCTACCCTCTGGTAAACGTTCACGTAACTATGGAAAGATCCACCATTT